AGATAGATACAGAAAAATGGAAATTATTAGAGAGAGAAAGTGGGTGTTTTTTTTAATTTAAAATTTAAATAAAAAAAAATTTTGTGTCTGTCTCTCTCTTAAAATGACATAACTTTATGTCATTTAAAATGACAAACATTTTTTCCGTAAACAAAATAAAAAGAAAAAGAAAATATGAGAAGAAGAAAAAGTAGGGATAAGCCACAATACTTGAAGGCGTAGTGAATGGAAATGACGTTTGGTAGAGGAGAATAATTTTTTATTTGGGAATCACGATTTTCAGGAACATGATGGAAAGATGAGTTTTTTGGAAATGTTACCAAAAAGATGTTTGGTAGATTAAAATATTTTCGGGAATATTGAATTAATTTTCTTAATGATATGTTTAGTTGTATTAAATTTTCTTTTGTTATAGAATACCATTCTCTACCTGGTATTCCTGGATAGTATTTTCGAAAAAATTTACACATAAAATAAAATTTTAAAAAAATCAGATTTCCCAAATATTTTAAAAAACTTGTACAAAATATGAATAAATATGATTACCATTCTCAGTTTCTCATAAATCCTAAAAAATACCACGTACCGAACGATCCTTAGAGCTTCACTATAGAATATTAGAATATTTCATTTGTTATAAAAGAATATAATATAACTTGTAGTTTTCCAAGAAAGAATATAATATAATACACGCATCACGAAAACAATTTAATTTAAAACGGTAATAATGTAAGCACCCAAAAAAACGATGGCAATAATTTTTTATGATTAGTGCAACAGAAACGAGGAGACGCACTTGCTGACCAGCTATTGACCCTAGTTAAAAGGGATTGAGTAATCTTCGACCAGGATCCACTATTATCAACTGCAGGAACTGCTTCACGATTTACATTCAATAATTCATGTTTGTCTTTAACAGTTTATTATATAAAAAATGGGAAATACAACTATATGTTGCATGAAAAATAAAACATCATCCTACTTATTTATTGAAAGACGTGTCACATTTTTTGTTTTTTTTTTTCCTTTTCTTAAAATACTGGTTCCATATAAAAGTTGTTTATGTAAGAAATTCAAAATTAATCTCGTAACAGGATAGACGTAAACCCCATAAAAAATAGGTTTAATGTTTGCCCTTTTTATTAGGGATATTCAAAAGAATGAAACCGATTTATAACTAAATTGTTTCACATTTTAAAAATTGGTTATTTTTAAAAATAAGTTTCATATAAAATTGCATTTTATTTTATAAACTGGTTATTTACCCAACTATAAAAATAATTGGTTATCCATAATCAAATTACTTCACAATTAAATAACAAATAAGTATTAGGATACCCAAAAAAAAAATAACAAATAAGTATTATTTTTTATCATGCCTATTATATTAGTTAATTGACTAAAACTTCCAAACAATAAACTAGCAAAAAAAAGTTAAACAGCTTAAGTAGAAAACATTTATTTAATAAAAAAAATTACACATAAATCGAAAGATCGTATCATAATAAAAACACTTCTTATGTAACGTAACAACTTTTTTCTCAAAAAAAAAAATTAACCACGTACAAACCTACTGGCAAACCCATAACTTGACAAGGCAAAAGTTTTGAAATGACAAAGATGAAGTTAAAAAATCATAATAAAAAGGGCAACGAAATTAATCAATTGACTTAACGTCTCTGAGAGCGTCGTTAAAAGGATAACTCACAATGAATTTACTTATTTATTCTTTAATTATAAAGAAGTTTGGTTATGGATAACCAATTATTTTTATGGTTTGGTAAAGAACCAATTTATAAAAATAAAATTCAGTTTCATATGAAACCGAATTTTAAAAATAAGTTGTTTTTAAAATGTGGAGCAGCTTGGTTATGGATTGGTTTGGTTCTTTTGGTTATTTTGAACACTCCTACCCATACCTTCCTCCATTAGTTCAAATGAAACTCTTAGTAACATAAATCTTGAGAGAACGAAGAACAATTTTTTTTTTATAATTTTAAAATAATTCAACTATTATTCTCTCAATCACTCTCAAAACAACGTGAAACAATTTCTATAAGAATCATTTCGTCCTGAGAGTTCCAAAACAATGAAGATTCTTGCAAGAAATAGTTGGTCAACTACCTATAACCGGGAGAAACAAACGACTACTTATAAAAATAGCACAATCCATCAAAAATCGATTTTGAATTGGTTAAAAAATCTGGTTTTGAACTTGATAACCGGTTTATGGTTTATAACCAGTTTTGAATGAAAATTGGTTTTAAATCAAAACCGGTTATAAACCATAAATCGATTTTGGAACCGGTTTCAAACCGGTTTAGAAAATTAAAAATCGATTTTAAAAGAAAAAATCGGTTCGGTTTGAAAACCAACCGTTTAAAACTGGTTCAGTTTTTGTTAAAACTAGTTCAGTTTTTGTTAAAACCGGTTATGAACTGCTCCATGCACACCCCTACTTTTAATAAAGGGATCACTTTTTTATACAATTAATGTATATAAGTTATTTATATTGAGCCAAAAATGATATTATTTTGAGACAGAAACCAATAGGGGTGTTCGCAGTCTAGATTGGATTGGTTTTGCAAGCAAAAATATCTGATCCAATCCTTTCGGTTTGGATTTTTTTCAAATCCGATTCAATCCAATCCAATTTTTTTCGGTTTGGATTGGATCGATTTTCGATTTTTTGTAAATTCCTAAAATTTGTTTCATGATTATTGTGCAAATAACATCTTTTGTATATATTGGCTTTGTAATTTTATTTTTTTTTGAAATACAAAAGCATCAATAAACGATAATAAATTTTTTTTTGAGCAATGCGATATGAAGCTCTACACAGATAAAATCTTGTTGATGAGATGTGACTAGATTTTTTCTTGGGTTTAGTTGATGGGTTAATGGGTCTTGTGTTTAAAATTTTTTGAGCTATGATTGAGAAAAGACCCAAGTAGGTAGTGAGGAATTAATATATTATATCGGTTTGGATTGAATCGGTTTTCATCAACAATTCGAAAACCGACCCAATCCAATTAATTTTTTTTTCGGTTTTCGATTTTTTGATTTATTCGGTTATCGGTTTTTCGATTCGGTCACCGCGGTTTAAATCGGTTTGGATCGGTTGATGAACACCCTTAGAAATCAAGGTATTTTTGTAATTATAATTTATTTCAAGATTATAATAGTCTATTTCATTATAATTTGTTTATTTTTCAAATCAAAATGACGTCATTTTGGGAGCGAATGTAGATAACTTATTTACATTCAGTATAGAAACATCAAAGCCTTTAATAAAAGACATAGAATTATATCACTTTAAATAAAAGAAAAATAAACAATAAAAATTATGAAAAAAAAGTGAATTGTTTTTTTAATTTAAATACTAATTTTAAATAAAAAAGGCCATCCTTTAAAAAAATAAATATTTTTCCCATAAAAATGCATAATAACTTAATCTAAATAATTGTTTTAGGATTAATACTTTTTATTAAAAAAGTATGTTTGATTATATATAGTATAAAAATGCTTGATTCTTCTATAATTTAAAAAATTCTATCAAATATAATATTTTTATGATTGCAATTTAATTAAAGATGTTATATAAATAACATGAAATACTTTAATACAAAATTCTTAACTTGTTGGGTGCTTCAGGTTCGAGGATGGACACAGCAGTACGCTGACTTTGCAGGATTACAACAGAAAGAACATGTCAATGTTCAGATTTGGAGCCTTCCTAACAACTTTACGCTCCCGTTATTGTTTTCTATGTCGTTTAAGACATGCATGCATCATTAGTTATATTCAAGCAAACACAAGTCTTTTTCATATTTCCCGTTTACAGTGCTTCAATAAAGACCAAAACCAATTTATCCATCCCTATTCTATCTAAAAACAGAGATCAAGCAGATAATTAATTCGATTCTCTTATTCCTTACTTGCTTCTCTTGCGAGGAATACCACAATCTTGTTTATCAAATTTTTATCTCTTCAGCTGCAAGTTTTTTTCTTTAAGTAAAGAAAATGAAACATAAATAACCATACGTCCTTTTAATATATTAATATTTTTTTTTTGCCTTACAATTAAAACATGAAAAGAATTTACATTAAAGGGCATTACTTTGTAATGTCTGCCACAGAGACAATTTTTTTAAAAAAAAGTGGGATCCATCAATGCAAATGGAAAAAAAAAATCATTTGTTTCCGAAAAATACATTATGTGTGGCAATTTTTTTTTTTAAAATAAGGTGACGCAAGTTCTGTTATGTAATCAAGTCAGTTCTAAATAAAAGGTAACAATGTAATAGGGTATGGGGAGGTTTATAGCACGATATTACTTTATTTTTATTAATTTTCTAAGGGGCTTGATTTTCTCATGTTGCATGAAAATTCAATTCTAACGTTATGACTCAACTAGCGGTGAGTCACATATTTATTAAAAAAAAAAAAAAAAAAACTCTAGAAAATGTTTTCCCATTTTCTAAATGGGAAAAATGTCTATACATTTAAATTACACAACTTACATCCTTTCACTCTCACAAAGAGGTGGGACCCACAACTTTATTTTTTTTGTCAACTCTCTCTCCTCCTTTATCTATCTCTTTCTCTCTCTTAAAATGACACAACTTTACATCCTTCAAAATTATACACACTTTTCCCTTTCTAAATATAGCTTATAAGATTCTATTTCTCCAACAATGGCAAAGAACAGCAGGTGGTAGCAGTAGCAATAACATAGCATACCCCATTATACCATACCGTCCCGTTAATTTTCTTCGCTTTCCCCAACGGTCCCTCTGCTTCAAAGCTACTACCCCTCTGCTTTACTCTCTCTCTCTCTCTCTCTTCTTTCTCTTTCTATCACTTGCCTCTGCTAAACAGGACAAAAATCTGTTACTAAAGGACCAACAACGCACACAGACCCCTTCACACTTAACAATTTGCACTGCATTTTCTGTTCTCTACTCTGCTCCGCACTGCAGATACGGTGGAGCCTTGCGATGAAATCCAAAACGCACGTCCATAACGGTAACGGCCACGCAAGTGAGGCCGGCGGAGGCGGAAGCAGCAGCTCGCCGAGCCCGCCGCCGTCTCCGCGGCGGCGGTCTGGAATTTCGCGTTGCCGGAGGCGGATGCGCCACGCCAAAGCGTTGTCGGAGACGAAGAGCAGCCTGGGAAGCTTGGCCGCCGGGATCATGTCACGGCGGAGCGTCCGGTACTTCTTCGTGCTGCCGGTTCTTTACATCTCCGGTCTGTTGATGTGTGTGGGGCCCTTCTCCGCTCTCATTGGCCATACTCCTCTTCCCGGTTCCCGTTACCGCAGCCACGAGCTCTTTCAGAAGCTTTGGCACGATATTGAGTCTGATAATTCCTCTGCCATTCAGGTTCTTCTCGTTTAGCCATTTTCCTTTGCAAATACCCTACAATTCAGAGTCTGTGCAGTGTAGTGAAGAATTTCGCGTTTGTCATTTGGTGGTGCCACATGAAATTTTGTTTTGTTATGTTTTGTTTTTTTCTTCTTTTTTTAATTCAGTTATTTTGATTATTAACTACTTCCTGGTGCATAACATGATAATAATTAAAATCATTCTCTTCCACAAAGAATGTTGAATTTAATTTTTTTATTTTTATTTTTCCTTTTGCAGTTGTCTTCAGTGTGGAAGTACAAACGGAAGCTGAGAGAGCAGAAGCCATGTCCAAATTTGACTGCTTTGCATCGCGAACATTTTGGTATGCACTCAGACAAATTATTTCGTAATAGATATAAGAAATCTTGCTGTAAAGTTTAATTTAGGTTATTTAAGCTATTTTCTGTTTTCGGTCAACATTATATGCTGCTAATGTGAAATTTGGCATAAAAGTTAACTAAATTTCACGAAGGGGATTAATTTGATGCTTTTGTCTTAATTTCAGTATCCCCTGGCCTGAATGGTTTTTTAATTGTGGAGGCCAATGGTGGTCTTAACCAGCAACGCTCTGCGGTATGACAAAAAATATGTCATGTCTCTGACTTTCAACAATTTTCTTTTTATTTAAGAGATGAAGTTTCACAGTTGTGCTTCTTAAATTGTCCTTCTGTAGATTTGCAATGCTGTGGCCGTTGCTGGACTCTTGAATGCAATACTAGTTATACCTCACTTTGAATTCCACAATGTGTGGAAAGATCCAAGGTGATCCATTCACTTATTATCTTTAGCTTTGAACCCTAAAAGATAGTCTTAACAATTGTGATTTTAGTCTAATGTCATTGATTGGTTTAGTAATTGTCAACATGTTACAGAATTTCACTAGGTAGTAACATGTGACTGCGGGAAAAAAGGAGTTTATTTATCACTTAGTTTAGTAGGCGTGTGCTTGGTTTACATCACTGTTTATGCAAATGAAAAAACAGACTTTCTTATGCATTTTTACATTAAGTGAATCGTGTCTTACTTTAGTCAATTGGCCGTTTACAATCTTTCAATATCTAAAGCAAACAAGTATAGACTATTGCCTTTATTTGAGACAACTCATTCCATATGGCAAAAAGAAAAGAAAAGAATAGAATAAAGTACAACTTCATTCCATAGTTCTGAAGAAACTTTCTGATTCTTGTGCTAATAGTTACTTGCTAGGTAAACTTTCTTGCCTGCTTTTGTTGTATGTTCCCATAAGTTATTTATCTTATTCATGTTCCCATAAACAGTTCCATATTACCATTGCTTTGTATGCTACAAATAATGAACCAATTACACAGCCTATACAACCTAGGACCAGAAGCAGTTCCTCCTGCGATATAATTTGTTGAGCCACATCAATTAGCACTTTTAACTTTTTGGTATGTCTTACCTTTGTGATATGGTCGGTCAAGCATTGCTTGTTTAAATTTTTTTAAGTAACTATGGCAGTGATGAAATTAAAGTAGACCTTATTGGGTATGTGTGCTTTCCTTATAAAAGTGCCCAAAAAATAATTAATAAAGTGAACATTATGATGCTTCTTAGAATTCTTTTGTTCCTGATTTTATTTCTGCAGTTACTATCTTTTTAAAATAATATTATCTCTCTTACAGTGAATTTGGGGATATATATGATGAAGATCATTTTATATCCACACTAGATGGTTATGTGAAGGTGGTTAAAGAACTGCCTGAGGCACTAATTGAGAGGCATAATTACAACATGAGTAATATCACTAACATCAGAGTTCAAGCTTGGGCTCCTGTCAGTTATTACCTAGGAGTTGTTTATCCTATTTTGCAAAAGGAAGGGTAAGTATTGGGCCACTTTCTCCTAATTTCTTTTCATCATTTTATATTTTTTGAAATGAAAAATGTTGAATTTTCAAAAACTCATTATTTTTGGGGTAAAACTGAACTCTGAATCCAAATTGGGCGCATGAAACAATTTGATTTAATGCACACAATTTGATGAAAATAAGGAATTTAAATTTTGGCTTGGTAACCTTATGCAGGGTTATTAGAATAGCTCCATTTGCCAACCGTTTGGCAATGAGTGTCCCTCCACATATTCAATTTCTAAGATGTCTTACTAATTATAAAGCATTGAGGTTTTCTTCTCCAATATCAGCACTGGCTAAGAAACTGGTTTACCGAATGATTGAGAAGAGTTCAAGGACAGATGGAAAGTATATTGCTGTGCATCTTCGCTTTGAGGAGGTACTGATGCTCATTCTATCCTTTTGAGAACAAGTGGTTGGTGTTAATATATGTGTCTGTGTGTGTCAAAAGGGTACAGGATTGAATCAGCTTTATGTAATGATTGACTAAATCTTCTCAACATGCAGGACATGGTAGCATTCTCCTGTTGTGTATACGATGGAGGAGAGGCAGAAAAGTTGGAAATGGATTCAGTTCGAGAAAAGGGATGGAAGGGCAAATTCAAAAGAAAAGATCGCATCATTCTACCTGACCTCAATCGAGTCAATGGAAAATGCCCACTAACCCCTCTGGAGGTATTTATTTTCTAGTTAGTGCTTCTCAGATATTAAATTCTGTTTTCCCCCCCTTATTTAAAATCTTGCTGGTGTCATCTCATGTACTGAAGTTATTTTTTAATGAGATACTGACATTATTTTTATTTTTCTTAGTAATACCATTTCCTAATTCCACTAGATTTTGGCCTCACCATTTGTACATGTTAATTTTTTTTTTTTACTTTTTTGATAATTATAGTGGAAGGATGGCTTAATTAGAGGAAAATCAAACTAATTTATGCAAGTTGAATTGTTAGAAGGCTGATATTTACATAGAAGAGACTGATGTTCATTGCATATTGTTTCCCTTAACTATGTAGGTTGGTATGATGCTACGTGGCATGGGATTTGATAACAATACTTCAATATTCTTAGCTTCTGGGAAAATATATCATGCAGAGAGATATTTGGCTCCTTTAATAAAAATGTTTCCCAATCTGCATACAAAGGAGTCTCTTGCAACATCAGATGAGCTTGCTACTTTTATGGTAAAGATCCTTAGTGGTTGAAAAATAAAATAAAAAATAGAGCAATAACAAATGTCATGCTTAATGAAACTGGATGGCTACAATGCTCTTCAGCTTCCGTTTTATTTTTAATTTCTTTTTCGTAGCAGCCCATAGACTGAAGCATGATAACTTGATTTTCTAGTAGACTTGTCTTATTCGTAGCTCTGCTGCAGCATCATTTTTTATTTTATTTTGTGCAGCAATATTTATAGATTTTTATCCTAGCAATAATTTTTTAAAAATGTAAGAAGTCAATAAAAACTATAACTGTCATCCTATATATGGATGTCTCATCTATGATCTTGTAGCGAGAAAAATTGATAGCGAATGAATTGGACTCAGCGGCTCAGATTTGTAACAATCCTTCATTAAAATTCTCAAATATGTTCATGGATTTGGGTTGGACCTGGGAACTAAGTCTCATCTATCTGAAAAGATGATCAGCAGTTTTAAACATCAATTGCTACATATTTTTGGTTTTATAGTTTATACACCACCAAGAATGCATTATGGATAGGAAACATGAATATTATATTTTATAATGATCAAGGATGTAATTGGCTTTCAATTCCACTAAAATAAAAATGGATTTAATTGGCTTTATATTTTGGTTCTCTCTTCACTCCTCATTTCATATTTTTTTGTGTCTTGATGGTTGGTAGTAAGTATATCTTCACTGCAACTTTTGCGAGCTTAAGAAATACAAAAATATTTCTTATGTGCAAGTTTAATTTAAGTATACTCTTTCATAGAGTGTGTTGTAATATTTGTTGGGAGTTTCCAATATGCTCTGATGCTTGCTTTCATTTTTTTTTTCTAGGGTTATTCCTCTCAATTGGCAGCATTGGACTACACAGTATGCTTGTTTAGTGAGGTTTTCGTAACAACTCAGGGTGGTAACTTCCCCCATTTTCTCATGGGCCATAGAAGATTCCTCTATGATGGGCATGCAAAGACCATTAACCCAGATAAGCGCAAGCTTGTTGTTCTTTTGGAGGACGTGGGTATCAGGTATAATCTATTTCCCTCTTCCCCTCTCATCCTCCATTTTGTTCCATATGTTATTTATGTTGTCTTGATTGAAATACAATAAAAATTAGGTAGTAAAGAGATAATAGTTATTTTTTTGGGATTCATATTAGAAGTAATACTTCTATGAGATAACGAGTGTTAACTGATTGAAGTTTCTCCTAGACTTGAATGAGAATCTTATGATATGTATACTATAAAATTGAAAAGCGGATAATTTGTTCCTATTCCTATTACATGTCCTCTGTTAACTAAGACAGGATACACCTTTCAGTATGAAACTGATATCTGCAAAACATGAGCTTTGGTGAACTCTGAAGATTACTGATTTTGGCATGATATTTGTTGGCAGAGCACTAATAGTAATTATGATATGTATATTATAAAATTGAAAAGCAGATAATTTGTTCCTATTCCTAATACATATCTTCTTTTAACTTAGAGAGGATAAACCTTACGGTATGAAGCTGATATCTGCAAAACGTGATCTTTGGTGAACTCTGAAGATTGCTGATTTTGGCATGATATTTGTTGGCAGAGCACTAATGCTAATTAGATACTAATCTACCACTGAATTATGACTTATTAATGTATAATGCCACATCAAAGTAAATACATGAGACTAAAAAACATTAGTTGGTCCATAGAAAATTTTTAGGAGGAAGTCTTGGCTATCTTTGTTATGATAAGGGATTACAGAGTCTGGCCTATTAACCAAAAATTGTTTGGTGCTTTTTAACTTCAGACCTACCAGGATTTGTATTTTGGCGTTGTATGCAATGCAATTTTCGGCAACAGTTTAGTTTTATCCCTTATAAATCCTGATTTATTAGAACTTCCCACTAGCGCCTTTTTTTGTATTTTTTTTTTTTTTTTTACTTTTTTTGTTTGATTAAATTATGTTTACTAATTGTTGATTTATGTTTGGCTTGAATCAACCTGCCAATAGGTTTGTTACTGCTGTTGTTGCCCATCCTTGTCTGGATGTCATATTTAAGTATAGTTACAAACTGGGTTTAGTGTGGGTGCTTAGGTATGCAGTCTTTGGAAAACAATAAATAATAGGATATATTTGAGCATTGGTTTTGCAGTTGGAGAGCTTTCAAGGATCAGATGGAAGTCATGCTCAGTGAAAGTGACCGCAAAGGATTCATAGTACCTAGAGTTAGAAAAATCAACAGAAAAACTTCTGTTTACACGTACCCCTTACCAGAATGTAGGTGCCTCCAGCAGTCTCATGCAAATCAAATTGACCACAATCTAGACAATCCTGATAATTACAGCAGAACAAAAGCTTAAATGTATGGCACGCATCATTCCAACATCTCTGCCGCGGTCATCAGTTTATATTAATTCCAATTCCATGGCTTTGGTGTTTCAACTTCCAGTTCTACGGCTTTCTGAAGTTGCTGTCTCTTGTTTGGCAAGATGTGGGTATTCCAGTTTTGATAACACGACAGATTTCTACTTCTGTGTGATTGGCTGCTGCGACTGCATGGAGATTTTGTGTGCATATTACTTATTTTACATGGCGAGACAGTTCTAGCCTCCAATGTAAAAGGTTGGAGTGGGAACACTGCACCAAGGTTGTGTTCTACAAAGGATATATAGCAGAACTTAAGAGTCACGTATAGAGTTATATTTTTATTTTTCTTTCTGATCAATGTTATGTTGACTGCCATTACACCGTCTCCATTTTTTGTTTCTCGTGTAAAATAGGGTAGAAATAAGAGACTAATCTAAAATATTTGTTTTTTACCCAGTGTCAGAGGGAGAGATACTTTTGGTCCTGCTGACGATTGGCTTTGTTTTCCTCCCTTAAAGACATTTTAATGTAATTTCATGTCTTTAAAATTTTCTGTCATTAACACCCAAATTCCTGAATGATCCTTGGGAAAACTGGTTATGAAGATGATCTGAAATAGAGTTTGGAATGCCTGGACAATAACTGAAGATCTTTACTTTTAGTGCAGTGTAGAAACAAACTGTAGCAAAGTTATAGGAGTGTAGATAGTGGAGTATGGGTAAAGATTAATGGACTCCCACGTTAATTCCAGTATCAATTTGTTTTGGGTAATACAAAGGCCTAAGGCCCAGAACCGAAATTGCATAATACTTGGACCTCTCCTTGGGACTGTAGTCTTTCTGAGGGAAGGAATGAACCCAAATATTCAATAACTCCCTGTGGATTGACACTAGACAGGCTTCAAGAACAGTTTAAAGACTCCCTCGTTTCTCCATTTGCAAAGTAGCCAACATGTAGCGCCAAATGCTACACTCCAATTGTCATAAGGATGGTAGTTAAAATCGAGATTCTACCTAAAATCGGAAGGAGGATAAAAAATCGTAAAACGTAAAATCTTAATGTGAAAAATATCGTAAAAAATCGTAAAAGCGTAAAAATATTTGAAATTTTGATGAAATCGTTTTGATTAAAAAAAATCGTAAAATCGTAAAATCACAGATTTAAATCGGGATTTTAACTACCATAAGAGTTCTTCCACGTAGCTTTAACAGTATGTTTGGATGATCCATTTTAATAAATATTTAGAGGAAGCACAAAAACTACTTCTAAATAAGTTATTTTTTCAAGTCAATGTCCGCTTTAGAAAGCGATTATTTAAATGATCAAATCGTATTTGTATCCATGCTTCTATTTGATGAATTTACTAAAAAGACATTTTTTTTAAACATTAAAATATTTAACTACTAATAAAAATATTATTTCACTTTACGTTTATTTGAAATTATTATCTTTGTATTTTTCTTGAGTCTTGCTTGAAATCATTAACCAATATATATATATATATGACTGGGAAATAATTTTAAGGTAAAATAGTAAATGCTAATGGATGTACGGTGCATGCCAAAAAAATGTAGAGAATTCAATAATGTTATTATCCTCTGTAATATTTAACGACTACGAGTTTATAAAATGTCATTAATCCTGTAATAGTATCGTTTTATAGTTAATACTAACTATAATGGGTAGTCAGATGCATCTCTTTAATAAAGCAGTGCATGCACTTAATTCCAAAAAGAAGAAGAAAAAGAAAAGCTAAACACGTGCAGGAAACATATTCTTAATGGACTCTGGTTTGTTCCATTTGTAAAGCATTTTCAGCATCGGGTTCTTCGCATGTGATGGTGCTAGGTCTAGCCTCATTTTCATCCTCTCATTGTCTTCAAATTCATAGTTTTTTATCAAATGAATCAAATTCTCACCCTTTATAATGTTTCTTCTTATAACGTTATGTACAACCATGAAAGTACCAATGATTTAACTTAATGTTTTCATAGCCAAAGGGGGCATATTACCTATTATATTTCCATCTTGCCTTGCAAGTTGCAACAACCAAATGAGCGTCCAATTATGCTTCAGAGACCAGAATGTTAATAATTGAAAACTTCAAATTTGTCTCTTATTTTAGACTTATTTTCTAGAATTGTTGGAGATGATAATTATTCTTATATGGCCCAAAAAACCTCATAGAATTAAGGTAGCGAGGATCAACAATAAAATATTCACCTACAAAAATACAATATTGTCAAAGGTTAGCACAAGTTTAAAAATATATATTTACAGTTTCTAAATATTACCGACTATTCCGAATTCATATAATAGGTTCTTTCTAGGAGCAAATATGTAGTGCTCCGAGACCAATGCACCCGCAAAGAAAGAGGGAAGGAGAGAGAGGGGTCAGAGAATTAATTTCCTCTTTCTAGGCATATGAAATGATCTGCTCATTTCTATAGGTAAATTCTTAGATCATAAATAAGGAGTTAAGCATTGTAGGTATGGACTTTTAAACCCTAATCCTTATTCATTGTCACTGTACACACATCTTTTGACTTTCAATCTCCCCATAGTGCATAGCTATTTGCTTCCACCTGCGGCTGTGTCCCCCATAAACACTACTAAACCACATATCCTACAGTAAAATTGATCCTCTGGGATCGAACACCAACTTTGAGGAGGATATGGAAAATGCAACCGAGGCTTGCATAAAGTCTGAATAAAAATCTTAGTATCATGTGCAAAACTCTTCTAAGTTCTACCCAAACAAAGGTTGGAAACATGTTAAAAACACAAGTTTAGTGGTAGTCAGTAGTCACACCTTTCCTACCAACACAAGCTGCCTGAAGATGAGGAAGAGCACAAACTCATACATGAGTAGCATTCATTGCATTTGCACCAATATAATCCTTGAAATAAGGGTAATATTGATTGGGATTCCTGATCTCAATAGTAATATCTCTAAATGACGGATCAATAGGCCTAGTTATGTCCTTTGAGAGCCAAAACAGGGCATTTAGTACTCAACGAAAATATCTAGATATTGTTTCTCCTTAATACTGGAATCTTTCCTTTGAATTATGAACAACACCTGGTTGACCCAACATGCACAAAAACAAAGCAACCTGCTACCGAATTCCCACATTTTGAGTTGGCTTTAAGTTGTACTTATTTTGCAATGTATTACATAAACGGAGGAACACTTGTTTCTTTATTTAAACAACTAAACTGATAACAATGGACTGGACCACCGTTTACAATTTCAGACACCCAAAAATGAACTCTGAGACTTGAATATTTAAGTCGACTTTTGATAACATGAAGTTTTTTTTTTTGGGATATTATTTATTTGCGTTCACAAGAACTCGAACTCGAAATCACTAGTTAAGCTATAACAATTTACAAATTGATCCAAGTGTTTGGTGATATAACTGATGAAGTATTTGACAACACTGGCTAAGGCAACATTAATACCTCTTTTCTTTGTAACTCAATTATAATCCTCTTACTCATGAAGATTCACATGATGTAAAGTCATAAGTAGCTGTAGACATCATGTGAAACTTCAATGATGAAACCAAGATTCATAGCACAAAAAAATTGAAAAGGAAAAAATAACATGAAAGATGTGAAGATCAATAAAAATTAAGTGCATTGAACATTAACATTAGTCATAATGTATCCAAAAGGATTACAAATTTGAAGTTACATGTTCAACTTGCGACAAAAACACAAAGCGTGATACATTCATAGCATATGTTACAAAATGTTTGTATCATCAAAGTTAGGTAAGATGGAAGGTGAACGTGAACCCCACCTACTCATCAATCATTATAAGCCGTTAGTTTCGCAAGGCCAATGGATCAGTGTAAGCTTGTGAGGTCCCCATGCAAGCTGCCATCAGATTAATTGGCTGTGTCTTTCAATATTGAACTCGTTCTAATGTTACGTTCTTTTCTTTCTCAATCATTACACACACTGTGTCTCCCAATTTTGTCTTCATTCTGATTCTACGAGCTTTTCTTTTTGTTTCTTCGTATATAAGCATGGCATGTCAAGTTCTGATGTTCTTTCTTTCTTTCCAATAATTAGAAAAACACTGCAAAAGTTACCGCTCCCACGCCAATATTCTTTCTGCCCATGCTTTTGGCGTCATTTCTCTAATTAAGAACAAGAATCCATCCTTAAAATTTCACATGATTATTTATTAAGGGAGTGTTTGGTAGTTGAAATTTTTTTTTACTAGAGAAATACAATTACGAGGGATACAGTGGAAATATGAATTTGATAGAAAAGTTAAAAAAAAGTGTTTGGTAGGACAGAATATTACTGAAAAAATTGATTTTAATTTCCTAAATCTATGTTTGGTTGATAGTAAAATATTGCTGAAAAAATTGGGTGAAATTATAAAAACGCCCCTTGACTAAATAAAACTAATATTTGGGTGGCTGAATACAAGTCATTGTCAGTGAACAGAGTTACTGAACTGATAATAAATGGTCATTTTGGTCACTTGCAACACTTCCTTTTTTGATTTAGCGGGTAATCCGTAAAATACCATATTCTATGTGGTGTTATTGAACAGTATTTTTTACTCACAAATGTCAAAACTCATGCAAATATGTTTTCTAGTTAAATTTTTCAAAACTTTGTATCAAACAGAGACATATTAAAATACTACATTCATTTGCATGGGTATCTTTAAATTTAACTCCTACCAAACACACCCTAAAGAAAAAACGTACTTAAAATATTCTCTTACATGTAAAAATTTTTGTGATACATAATAGTTTATAACATTTCGAATTATCGATATTGTTGGTGGTGCTTGTAAACCCATGCCGATTTGTTTAACTTTTTGGTAACGAAGATCAACACAATCCCAAATCATAATACAATGAGTACAAAACAAGAGTCAACCAATGCAACTAGTTGGGGGATTCCATAACGCATAACAGATTAGACCCCACGTGCGACAACTACGAATCATTTCCGTTCTAGTGCGAATAAAATGTACTCTGTCTTTTTTCATTTTCTACCTTATTTAATGTGGTTGAACATTATTTAATAAAGTGATTTATAACTTTGATTAGGTAAGTTTAGGAAGTTTGATTATGACACTAAATAAACTATACAATTTACCAAAAATAATATAATTATTTAGAGGCAAGTTATTCTTATGGATTTATTTTTTCTGCAGTCAATATAGATAAATTATTTACATTGAATTTAAAACGAAGTTATTTTGGACGGAAAGAAATCAAAGTATTTTTTAATTATAATTTATTTCAGAGTTTTTAATTTTTTAACTCAAAACGGCGACATCATTTTAAGAGTAAATGTAAATAACTTAACTACATTCAATGTAGAAACATTAAAACCTATTCTTATACCAGTAAAAATATAAGAATTGTTACAATCATTTTTAGTCATTGATTCACTATATTTACATAACTAAAAAAATTAAAGTTGTTATGCCGGTGTAAAATTAATCCTCACCCAATTATTTGCTGTAAAAAATTTTAAAAATAAAATAATAACCAATGATAGCATAGAATACGCATAAAATACAGAACATGTATGTTTATGGACCATATGGTTAAATTGCATACTGCAACATATTCCTTAAATTGCATAGCTGCAACATCACACCGCCGCAACTGTGAGTACGGATAGTATAAACAAAAGGTAAATGTTGTCATATACAATAGCGGATTGAGTCAAAGCATACCAAATTGACATCCACACACTTCTCTCCCCACAAAGCACCAAACTACCAAAGACATGTAAAGTAGTTCAACTTAGCTTATGATGCCAAAAAGTAAAAAAGCTAATAAACTAAAGCAAAGAAATTAATGGTAAGAAAAGTTCACTCACTCCTAATCCAACAAATACCAAAAAACAGTAATCAAAAGCCTCTATAGATTACAACAAAACAAGGCAATATAGCTCTACGGTTGAAAACATACAACTCGTCCAAATTTGCATAAGCCCCAACAGAACCAGCAACAGAATCATACTCCTCCATGTTTCCACCTTCTGCATTCTTCTTCACCCTCCCTGCTATCACCCTGCAAACCAACATTGCCCTCTTCTCGTTACTCTCACTCTCATCGGTTGAAACCCCAGCTTTGTCGTGTGCCTTCCCACTTGATGCAGTTGTCAAGATACCCTTTCCACCGTTGGATTCTCCTGTCACTGTGGCCTTGAAACCGTTCTTGATTATGCTGCAGACATTGCATTGTGTTGTTGAGTTGCAGAGGTTGGAGGACCCGTTTAGGCCTAATGAACACACAAAGGTGGTGCAGTGGAACCTAAGTAGCTCGTTGCCATCTGCTATGCAACGAGGGTGTTTCTTTGAGAGTTTTGTGGCTTTGGCTTTGATGAAGTCTCTGTACTCTTCGAATCTGCATATGGTTTTCTGGTTGTTGTGTACTTTAAGGATGCGGTCTATTATGCACACTGGGGATTGTTTCTTTAGCCAGCTAGAGTGGAATATAATTTCTACTATGTTCTTGCTTGTGTCTTCAGGACCAAGCTCAGAAACTGAAATTTGTATCATCAGAAAAAGGTAATGAAGCAGATATTCAGTTATGGTGAGTTGAAAATTTGAAACTAGAGATGATTAAAAAAAAATGGAACATTTATAAGGAGAAACTAAATCTATGTGCTTTGAATTTGATAGAGGATAAACTAGCTCAAATTAAGAACATCACAAACCAAAAAATAAAAATAAAATAAAAAAATCAAGATTTTCTTTAACAAAAGAATGGGGATGTTGTTGTTTATATAAGTGAGCAAATATTAGTGATAAAAAAAGAAGAAGTGAAGATATGAAAGAGAAACATACCTGCATGCTTAACAGATTGATGGTGCTCCAAGCTTTCAGCTTTCATGAAGATTTCACCACAGTCAGGGCAAGAGCAAATGCTACTTCTCAGAGAAGGGTCTTTGGTGAAACCCAGAACAGGGTCAACCACCATTCTACACTCATAACAACCAGAGAGTCTTCTGAATGGTATTCTCCTAATAGAACCACCCACAGAAGAATTAGAAGATGCTGCAGACAATGAAGTAGAAGAAGAAGAAGAAAAGGCAGACACAACTCCTTTATTGATTTCGTTTTGAGGGGCTTTCATGGATCTGCTATTAGAAGCAGCATCGTTATTGTTGTTACAAGCACCACCCAATGAGACCCTTTTCTTGTGGACATCAGGGGTTCCTGTTTCAGGCCTAGCCATGTCGACCTTGGTGTTATTACAAAGCGAACCTGAACATTTCATTTTCTTGCATTTCTTGTTGTTTTCTTCTGGTAAACGTTCCTCTTGAGGTTTCTTCTTCTCCCGGTTCTGGCTAGGATGTTTCTCTTCATGATGTGGCTGCTTCTTCTGATGCTGTTGCACTTGGACATTTCTACAGGTCAATAGGCCTCTTACCACAGCCCATGAGGGTTGTTTCTCTGTCTTATGGGGCTGCTTGGTGGTGGTGGTGGTGGTTTTTCTGTGAGTTATGGGTTTGCTCATTGTAGGAAAGTAAGAATGAAGTGTATTTAGAACAATCTTTGAGAAGTGTTTATATGCAACGGAGCTTGCAGTGGCAGGATTTGGGACTTGGGGTTTGAACTTGAAGTATAGGTGTCTAATGTAAAGAAAAATGTGTCTCTAAATTCGTGTCCTTTGGGACTTAAGAGTGGTGAGTGAGGGCTCTTCTAGTTTTTAGCTCTCATGATAATTTGGTATTTTATATACCCTAAAAGCTCTCCCCGTGGGGCATATGCATGGTCTGTGATGAGTATCTCACCATTGATTTTTAGTAAGGAGTGGTGTTTTTCCTTTTAGAAAATATAAAATTGTGTTATCTTATTCTTAATGAGAGAAAAAAATACATAAAAAAAATCATAGGAAAAAAGTTGGAGTTTTTTTAAAATTTAAAATTTAAATTAAAAACATTAATTTTAATTAAAATAATCATCCTTTAAAAAAAAATATTTTTTTTTTCCTTTTTATTAAGTCTTGAGGCAAAACAGAGAGATATTATGACCAAGTAACGGTCCCCCTTTTAATGTCGTGCTTGTCCTTTATAATAATATATTCAACATTCTGGACATATCTTACTGATGCCTCTTTATTGCCTCATGAGGTTCGCACTGCCATCCATGAGTCATTAAATCTGATGCCAATTAGTGTTTAATGTACATTTCGGAATTCAGTGAACCTAAATTTGAGTTGAGTTTTCATGTAAATTTTGTCATTCAATTAAAAATATTAGAAAAGTATTTCTGACTGGTATTTTTTCAGTCAGTCACTGAAGATAAAATTATCTTCAATGAGCTCAAAACAATATCGTTTTGGGATTAAAATATTAAAATAATAAAGACTAATATAACCTGCAATATATTAGAATTATAAAAATACTTTAATTTTTATCTCAAAATTACATCGTTTTGGGTTCACTGGAGATAACTTATCTCCATTAACTGGATAAATCTTTTACCCAAAAATATTTTACTATAACAATAACTACTTAAGAACTTAAAATGTAAAATAGAAAAAATGCTTATATAGTGACTGCAGCTAAGTTATATGCATTCACTATTAAAACGACATCATTTTGGGGTTGAATACATATAACTTATTATGAAAAGAGGATCATTATTCTTACAACCTATTTTTTCACCATTTATTTTCGTCAATCCAATAATTATAATTTGTTGGAATTAATAATTAATTAATAAATGTAACCTAATAAATCATAATCGTTGAATTGACGAAAATTAACGGTGAGAAATAAGTCGTAAGAGATTATAAGCGAAAAGAGGTTATAAGAATAACGCTCCTCTTATGATAAAGACTATTATAATTCTGAAAGAAATTAAAATTAAAAAATACCTGATTTCCACTATAAAACGACGTCGTTTTGGGCTGATAAGTTATTTGCGGTCACTGCAGAAAAAATGAACCAATATAAATACACGATTATATAAAGACTTTAATATTTCTACAGTGAATACAGATAAGTTATCTCTATTCACTCTCAAAATAATGTCGTTTTGGGGTTAAAAGATTAAAAAATATAATGATAAAGACTATTATAACCCTGAATAAATTAAAGTTACAAAAATATCTTAATTTTCACCAGAAAAACGTCATTTTGAGCTCCTGCAGATAAATTATTTTCATTCACCACAAAAAAAAAACCCATATATAAAAGAACAAAAGAATTTGACGTTAATCAATAACCTTTGATTGCTACCCCTAATATTTTCTTCATCACTCCATGTTTTGCAATAGTGGGAAATTAATAAAATATCAATCCCAATAAGAAAAATAACCTCTAACCGTTAATTGAACAATTATATCATATAAATTTCGTGGAGGAAATAATCTCTCACCATTAATTCCAAAATTATACCTACTTACAGCTCTGATTGCACTAAATCATAATTCCACGAAATCATCCAATTTAATTTAATTTTTTAGATTTACATGTGATATTTGATGAGAATAAACTTAAATAATTTTGATGCTTCCGAAAGAAAACTTAAATGAAGAATTTCAAAATATAAAATAAAAAGTTAAAAAATGAAGAATGTGGATTAACATATTACACATCCAATAGCCTCAATTCGTAAATGACATGATCTCTCATATTTTATTTTTTGATAGTGATATCTCAAAAAAATAAAAATAAAAATTAATAGTGATTTGTTTCTACCTGCAAACCTAGCCCAAATTGATGGTGAATAGAGTTGGATATTAATTAGGCTTGTCGTTATTGTAAGCCCAAGGTGGACTTTGTTGGTATAAGCGCATAGCACTGTTTGCAAGGTACTCTACTAATTACCCCATAATGGTGTCTCCTACTGGGAAAAGCTGCTTTGCTTGATTCCATTTGCCTCAAAATCATCCGAGCTCTGTGTTATGGAATAAAGCTGTCTACTTTAATTTAACATTAAAATCAGCAATTTCCCTCACAAGTTTTGAACTAATTTCAACATAAGACATATTTGAATTAATTTAAAATGAAGAATATTAATTAATTATTTTAAGAAAAAAGATACTTTATATCACTTAAATAAAATAATCGTTTATAAATGAAATTTGTTTGGAACTCAAACTTGAGATGTGAGGGCATGTTCGATGCATACTATATGATAAGGTTTGATAGTATAAAATCTGATAGTATAAGGTCTGATTAAATTTTAATATTATCCTGCGTTTGGCATGGTATTGTATAAAATAATATATTATATAAGATAATGTCATCTAGTATTTGGTAATGCACTGTATAATACTTACTATATAGGATAAAAATAAATATTTTTAATAAAAATATCTTTTAATAGAGAATTTATATAATTCTTCAAAAATTATTATATGATATTAATTTTTATAAAAATTTATTGATTAGTGTGTCCAAAAAATAAATTATTTTTTATAAAAATAAAAATATTCAATATTTTAAAATTTAATATATTGAAAATTAATTATTATTTTAATATATTAATATTAAAATAATATATTAATTTTTGAGAATTGCACTGGTCAATGATGTTAATACACTAACCTCTTATCAGGCCTAATCCCTTCCCCTTAGGCCGGATTAAGTTATACATCATTTTGATGTATTAAGGGATTCTGTTGTATAAGCTTATACTATATGATGGTCACACCAAACAACTGAAAATGTCATAACGTATAGTATAAGCTTATACTATCAAGCCTTATACGTCACACCAAACAAGCTCTTAGTCTGATAAGTTAAAGTTCATTTTGTTTACAATATTTAAAGGTAACAACTGAATAGAGAATAAAGTTGGGCACAAGTTTATTAGTATAGCAAATGTATCATTAAAAACAGGGCGAGTTTTCATGTTGTTCGATACAATATTCAATAGGAAATGTCAGGTCTTACAAGTTGGGAAATCCTTAATTAATCCTGCTTTTGCTAGGACATTAATTAATTGGCGTTTAATTCCACCCAAAAATTTTATTTAAAAAAGTAGATAAGAGAGCAATACGCGAAAAGTGAGAGCAATAACATAATGGGGATAATAAGGTTGACAAGCTTGTATTTAACATCTCGGAAATGTATCTTTTCATGTATAACTTACACATAATCAACGACTAAGAATATTTCATATAACATGATAATGTGAAATCACACATAAGATAATCTATTTATCATTTCCCTTTTATTTGCAGCGGATTATATCGGAACCATATTATAACTCAGTGGTTAGTTCTTGTTGAACTGGTGTAATGTCCATGTGATGTTTTTTACATTGTAATTGAAGTAAATATTAATTTTATAAAAAAGTAAACAAAACCAAACATTTTCTAGGTCTTAGATATCCAAATTCTCAAATAGAAGCAGAAAGCCATTCATTTACCAATAATGAAAGGTTTGAACGAGGCAACTTGTTCGGGCCAACACACACACTCTCTCTTTTGGTTGGATTCACTAAATTCTTGTTGGGCTTATGAAAATATGAGTGAACGAAAAAAACTGACGGAGGATTTTTCATCTTCGACTAAACAAACTAACCCTTCTAAAATCGGTAGGCCCAAAATTCCTAAATGTTGTTTGGCCCATTCGGAACAAACAGGGATAAGCCCCTTTTATGATATGAGTTTAATGTTTGTATTTTGGAAAAAATATATGTAATATTAAAGTACATAAAGTTATGTCATTTTAAATGAGAGAAAGATATGATCTAATATTTTTTATTTAAATTTTTAAAAAAGTCACTCATTTCTCTCTTAAGATTTTTATTGTGTGTCTTTCTCACACTTAAAATGAGATAACTCTACATCTTTTAAAATGACACATACTAAACATCTAAACCCATCTATTTTTATTATAGAAAAAGTTTTTCTGTCACGCTTTCATGTGAGTGAGTAGATTTTACTAATATTTTTCTTTTCTTTTTACAATAAAATTCACTCCTTTTATGTGAGTATGAGTCTAGGAGTGTAAATAGGCTAGACTTTGGCTTAAATAGGTCAAATTTGTGTAAAAAATAGTGTCTGCTCTGACCTGTTAGCCTGTGTAAGTCCCAAATTACAAGTTTGGCATGACCTATATTTTAAAAATAAAAGTCTTGACCTAGGCCTGTTAGCTTGTGTAAACCTATTAAACATTTAACAATTAAAAGAAAAAGTAAAATAATATTATTTTATTATTCAAAATTATTAAATTAATAATTTTATTTAAAATAAATAATATGACATAGGCCGGCCTGTAGGCTTATAGACCCGACATTTACAAAAAAAGTCTATGACCTATTTTCTAAATAGATTTATTTAAAAACCTAGGTCTGTTCTACTTTACTATTTGTAATAGGTCAAGCTTGACCTAATATAGGCTAGGCCGTAGGCTCCCGTAGGCCGACTAAGCCCATTTACACCGCTAAGACAGATTAATTATTTCAAGAAATATGAAGCGGTTTAATTAATAACTCTCTTGTTGAACCAGACCGAGTATATCATCGACCGGTCCAAGTTTAATAGGAATGGTTTAAAGGAACCGGAGAGAGTAATAAATTGACTGTTGTTGGGAAAGCGCTAAAAGGGCATGTGCTTTTATCAATTTCAAATTGTGCGTTGGTGTTCTCTCTCTCTCTCTTCCATTTCCCTTCGTAGTTCAGGAGCCGAATGGAATATGGATTTGATGACAGCAACAAGATCATGTTCATCTTTTGTGCTGCTCCCAAGTAACAGTACCATTTTGGGGTAGAAATGTCATTTCATTTCTATTTTCATGGATGGGAAGTCTAACACTCCGACATCTTCTCAGGAATTTCTCCGGCAGGTCCAAGCTGCCCTCAAGCGCAATCGCCCTCTCGGTAATTCTAATTTTCCGTTCGCTCGCTCTTCGGTTACCGATTTTACTCCGCGCAAAGTGATTCTTATTTTTTGAGATTTCTATGTCCCAATTTCTCATAAGGTACAACAACTCAATCAAATGGTATGAGGCCAAAGCGCTCCATGGTTGCTCAACGAAAGCTCATCAACGACGTGGTGGAATCTCAAAATGTAGGTGCACACAAGAAGGTCCACTTTTCAATTGCAACCAACAATGCTTCCCAGGGTAATTTTGTTATATATCTTTATAATTACTTAAATGCTTAGATTTTAACTGTTTCGGTCAAACATGCTTACATTCGCTTACTATAAGAGATTTGGTATATTATGATCAGCTTTACTATACAACTTTATAACTATCATAAACCCTTCCCCATTCCCATCTTTTGTGCACAAAGTTGCAACTTTTGTGGACATAACTGCAAACTTGCCAATACAATTTTTATGGACAAAGTTGCAATTCTTCTTCTACCAATGGTACTAACAATTTATTCTCTCTCATTCTCTTAAGTAATAACCCTAACAATCTCCGAATACAAGTATTTATATCCCATAAGAATTTACAAGGCAAACAACCAGTCACTCACTCTCCTTATCAAGGTAAGGACTTGCATTGTGACAGACTCTTTTCGAAACAGTCACTATGTCTTGCCCTGCCATATATTTCCTTTTTCTTCTCTTTCAACATGCTGGGGTCAATTATTTAAAGGCCACTGAGTTGGAGAACTTATCATCTCATATTGATTCACTTGCATTGACAGAAACGGAGTCGTGGGCAAGCAGCCTACCTGAAGCATCGGTTGGATTCAATCAAGACTCGAAGCACCAAAATATTCAGCAGGCAGAGTCTGAAATAAGTTTGGTTTCTGAGGGAGGCAGAAGTTCTCTGTTGCCAAAGAGAACAATAGTTACTCAGGATCATCTGCAGCAATTCACAAACTTTTTAAGCCAACCAGCTACGCAATCTTTGGTAGTGGGACCCTCATATGCTACCACTACGTCAGTCCATTCAACTTCAGCTCCCATGCTGAATTCTATAACTCGTTCCAATGTTGATAGTGGCTCACATGTGGCTGCAGAACCTTGTGGGAACCTTACTGTTAATCCTCATCCTATGACTAAAGGGGTTAATAAATCACCAAATAATTCCCGAAAAGACACCAATAGAATGTCAATTGATCAGGCTGCAAGTACAGTCCAAGTTTGTAATACTCTTATTGATGCAGAGTTGACATTCAAAGAGAGTGAACCATCTAAGGAGCAGCAAGGATGCATATTAAAGGAAACTAGCATTTTGAAATATACTTCTTGTCATGATGACATGTTAACTAAAGGGAAAGAGTCTGCGGTTGTTACCAACATAAAGCCTCAGGCTCCAACCTCATCTTCGGATGTCAAGTTGGAGTCTTCTAGGCTAGAAAAATTGGAGAAAGCTACAAGTTCTAAACGATCATTAGGTGCTCGGAAAAGGAGCTATGACCCTGACTTGTTTTTTAAAGTCAATGGCAAGCTTTATCAGAGGCTTGGCAAGATAGGTAGTGGTGGAAGCAGTGAGGTACACAAAGTGATATCATCAGACTGTACAATCTATGCCCTTAAAAAGATAAAGCTAAAGGGCCGTGATTATGCCACTGCGTATGGTTTTTGTCAAGAGATTGAGTATCTAAATAGTCTGAAAGGAAAGAATAATATTATACAGCTTATAGATTACGAGGTACTCTCTCTCAACTTCTTGTTTTTGTTATGAATATGACAACTAAAAGATTTTGGTTTTAGATATTGCTGCTTTATTTCTCTCTTATTTACATCTGTATGGTTATAGGCTTCAACCTGAGAGGAACATGTAGTCATGTAGTGAAGTTCAGTATTTTTCTTTAGTGTCCCACGTCCCTCTTTTGGTTTCTCCCAATAGGTTTTGGTTCTCCTCTACTCTTACGGATGACTACTTAGAACCTTTTACCCTCCTAATTCCTGGAAGGTCTACTCTTTTCTAAATAGTCCTCTATATAGGTTGAATGGAATAGATAGTCAAGGACGGGTCAGAAAGAAGTGTCTATATATAATCATTTTTCATGTTTTAATTTTGCATTTGCCTTCTGTTTCTTATCTGCATTGTCCAAGTCTACTACTAAAATCCATAGTAATTATTTTTGGATAATCATAATGGATTTTCTGTATTTCCCCCTCCTTTTTGTAGGTTTGGTAATAATGTCTTCAGTTTAATCTTATTATAGTTTCATACTGAAGACCCAGTTTTCCATATATATTTCTCAACTAGGATCCTTGATGGGTTCTTTTCTGCGAAACGATATTGCTGGAGTTTCCTTTCTCCGATCTGTAATTCCTTCTCAGAGGCATGACCCTTCCTGTGCATAAAAGAAATTCAATCATTCATTACGAAATTATGCTTGTGAATTTTGTCCAGTTATCTGTGTTTTAAGTTCTTATTCTGTATGTGTGCGCGCGCGTGTGTTTGCGTACATACTTTTTTATGGTAGAGGGGCTTGAAGGGTTTATGCTCATTTAGAAACAGGTAAGATTTTTTTTTCATTTTTTGGTTGACCTTCATGTATGTTATATATTTTAATTATGATAACATTTTTTATTTTGTATTTGTTATGGATGTGAATTAAGTCTGTAAGGATTGCGTCATTTGTGTGCTGGCGTTATTCACTTTTACCAACTCTTGTAATTAGGTGACTAACAAGGCTTTGCATGAGGGAGTCATGAATGGTTCCTTCAGTAATAAGGATGGTAGAGTCAAGGATGATGAATATATATACATGGTTCTTGAACATGGGGAAATTGATTTGGCGCATATGTTGTCTCAGAAGTGGAAGGAACTGGATGGATGCAACCAGACCATAGATGAGAACTGGCTTCGATTTTATTGGCAGGTTTCAAGTCTACAATGTAACCTTAAGAATATTTTATCATTTCTCTGAACCTGCATATTGTATAGTTACTTTTTGCCTTGTCTGTTCAGTAGTTAAAAGATCTTGTGTTTAGAATGTGAGAAACATTTCCTTGCCATTTCCTTTTGGACTTCTATGTGTTCTGGATGTCTTGTCAGTTCTTCATGTTTCAAACAGGATCTGAAAAGCAACCTCTTTTATGTGGCATCAAATAAAAGGCCATACATTCAGTGCTTTATTGATAATCACCTTTGAAATAATTTTTTCTCGTAATCTATGCTAGTTTTTTTTTTTAATTGATCATGAATGACTGTTTTTTCCCTCCATTTTCTTTCTTTATTGGATAGAATGTAATAGTATTGTAACTCTGTTTAAGTAAATTAGCTGAGATTGTTTTGTTGATACCTTCAGCAAATTCTTCAAGCTGTCAACACAATTCATGAAGAACGTATCGTGCATTCTGACTTGAAGCCAGCTAACTTCCTCCTCGTCAAAGGTTCCCTAAAACTGATTGATTTTGGTATAGCCAAGGCAATAATGAGCGATACAACAAACATCGAACGGGATTCACAGGTATTGCATATTTCCATCTCTTTTTTCCCTTTTGGTTCACTAGACATAATACTATAATTGACATGAATGTCTTTCAAACTTTGTGGTTGTGGCTTTGTGCGCTGCCATTTACCTCAGTTTGCTTCCTGGATTTATTATCCATAATTTGGAGAGTACAATGACTGACTAGAGTTTCCCTTGCATTTTTGATTTGTTATTGCAGTGCATGAAAATTAGTGGTGTACAAACTGTATTATTAAGTGTTATTTAATTCAGAGTGTATTTAAACTCTAAAATATCTTACAACCATTTGGATAGGAGACCAATCTTTTCCTAAGCTTTAAGAGATCAATGGCATCCTAAATATTAAATTTTCATCAACTATTGTAGGCTGGTACTCTAAGTTACATGTCACCTGAGGCATTTATGTGCAATGAGAGTGATGCGAATGGAAACATCATAAAGTGTGGTCGGTCATCAGATATCTGGTCCCTGGGCTGTATCCTTTATCAAATGGTGTATGGGAGAACACCTTTTTCAGATTACAAGACATTTTGGGCCAAATTCAAAGTTATAACTGATCCAAATCATGAAATTACGTATGAACCAGTTTCAAACCCATGGCTTCTGGATCTCATGAAAAGGTGTCTAGCATGGGATCGCAATGAAAGGTGGAGAATTCCTCAGCTACTCCACCATCCTTTTCTTGTCCCTCCAGTTCCATGTCATCCATCTTTTTCCCAAGACCATACCTTTAAATTGCTACAATTTATTGCTAAAACTTGTACCAATGACCCAGACGCATCGCTGCTGTGCTGTCAGCTTCAACAGGTGCTTTGTGATCCCTTCAAGTTAATAACTCCTGACTCATTAAATTCAGCAGACGAACAGCGTAAATTGCTTTCCAGAATATCAGAACTCTGCGTTCAGCTGCAGGAACGATTGACTAATAGTGATGAAGGAAGCCAGTGAATTTTTATTGGTGGTTATTCCAATTTTCAGTGGTTTTTGTTCAACCTGTTTTCTTCAATATATCTGTAACAAAGGTAGTTTTGTTTGTTGGTAGTACTAGAGTTATATGGAAACAGTATCACAGCTAAAATAGAGTTGATAAAAATTAGGAACTGGCATACAAGATTTAAGGTGGAAAACCTTCAACTAATAAGGAGAAAATCACAGGTAAGAGTAGGAGAGTATTTTACTAAGTCAAACAAATTACAATATCTCTAAATGCCTATTGGGAAATATTTTACAGTATATTGGGAAATATTCAAATGGATGGTTTGTCAAATGAAGTTCTAAAGCATCTTTCAAGGTTAGTGTAATTTTTTAAACATTAAAAAAAAAATGAAGCGTGGAGAGATGAATTTGCTATGTATGAATATTGAAAAGTTGAAATGGTGATTTGTTAACTACAAGCCATACAATCCCGTAGCTTAACTTTGTAGTCTTCTTGATGTGAACTCGCTATCCGGTTCAGGTAAACCTTGTGCCTCCCCACCTTTCCGGGTGCCAATCACTTCTGACTGTATCGCAGACGAATCAAATAGAGTGATATAAATATTCTTTTATTTAATTCATCTGTATATTTGTTGGCAGTCGGTGATGACAATCAAATGTGTGAGCTCAATCCTCGGAATACGGTTGCTTTTTCCGCTTATCCATGATTAAGTTGCTGACAAATCTATGATGTTTGTGAGAAGCGTTACTTTCTAAGAATTTATGTAGGCGTTTAATGTCTTTCAAGTGATAAAATTATCTTTCACGTGTTCATAGTAACACGTGTGTGTTCATTTTGTTTTTATCCTCCTTCTTTTCTCTTCAGGTGATTTTATATGGGCTTCACAAAATTATGTATAGAAAATAATTTTATCTTTTATATATAAGAAATTTTAAAACCTTTATTTAATTCCCAATTATTCATAAAATACTGCTTGTCCAATGCAAGGTTAGGGCCTTTAAGCTTTTGAATATGGAACACAGTTGTAAGAAACTACGGTCAGTCTCATCTGATGATAAATTAATGACCATTTCAAATATGCTATAGCATGACCTGGTTATTATAATCTCAATTGAAATTCAAAATAGTTTTCCACTGTGACTATAGCTTTAACTTTTTCAAAAGAGTGGTCAGAAGGAAACTTGATCGAAGAAGATTCCTCAGCACATCCCACCCGAGCGAAATTTCTAATATAGTAACGGGTAGGCTAGGCTTTAACTTAAATAGGTTAGGTATGTGTAAAAATTATTTGGTTTGGCCTGATCTGTTAGCTTGTGTAGGCTCATAATTACAAGTCTGACCTGACTTATATTTAAAAAATAAAAGCTTTGACCTAGGCCTATTAACCTGTTTAAGCCTATTAAAAATTTAACAATTAAAAGAATAATTAAAATAATATTGCATTATTATTCAAAATTCTTAAAATAAATAGGTCTGGCCTAACATATGTTAGGCCGTAAGTCCCTGTAAGCCGGCCTAGCCCATTTACTCCTCTACGGGTATTTATATTTACTCAATAAAAATACACAACATTTACATTGACATGTTTTCCAGAGGGAAAAAAGTTATATCTATGTATTTTCTGAAATAAATAATTTGTAATTTTATTTTGAACGAGAATGATATCTAGTACTCAGTGCCATGATAATACCAAAGATGTTCTCACATCCAAGGCAACACCTCTTCCGCACTCTCTATATTACCCTGGACATGGCTTTATAGCTATTTTTTTCAAATTAATCAAACTCGTTAGTCGCACATACACACGATTCTCATTGTAACACTAGATTTCCATTCGTTATTAGAGTATATGTATATACTCTAATATTCGTGAATTTCCTTCAAACTTATATTGCGTTTTCCGAGTCTACCGCATTATGCCATTTTTTTGTAGTTATATTACTATATAGTATATATTGGTAAGGAAAAATATTTCTCCGGCAACTTGAGATAAGTTTATCTCCGGCCATCCTAAAATTACGTCGTTTTATTTATTTATTTTCTTATATTAATTGATTCACCTTTAAATAGTTATGATTCATTTTTTTTCTCTCTTTTTTTATCAGTATTGATTCATCTTTGTAAGATTATGATTTAGTAGCCGGAAATAACTTTATGTCCGGCAACTTGAGAAATGATAAGCCCATATTCATATGGCCAACCAACAAATAATATACACACATTTATAATTTAACTTAAAATGATGAATATGTTGATACGGTATCAGACTTTATTAACATTGTTCTTCTTCTTTTTTAATCTCAAGGACCTACTTCATGATTGCTTTGGTCAATCATTTGTGAGGAGTATGGTTGTTCTTTTTTGGGAAAAATGTAAATATATATATTAACCCAATGTGAATCAAAGTGATACAATATAGCTGGGGCATACTCCGCAAAACAAAAGATGAGGCAACACAACAACAGATGATCCTAGTGCAGAAGCTAAAGAAAGCTAAACCACTAAGAACATATGCCTAGTACAAATGGGTAAGATGCGAGTACCTATATACAAGAAATTTAATCTTGTCAATTACATCTTTTACAAAAAAGGACCCATGATAAAAAATTGTACTATTTCTACTAAGCCATATACAATATACGGTAGTTGCCAAAGCTAAGCATCTAAAACTGCCTTTGACTCCCGAGATGCCTCTATGATGGATGAGCTTGCTAATTGTTCCATGCATTGAAATATTTCGCCTTGGGAATAAACTCCAATCTCTGATTGTTGACCAAACCTGTAATACAAGAGGGCAAGAGAAAAATAGGTGTGCATTTGTCTCCAAATCAGATTTGCATAGGTAGCATGATTGCCCTATATTCAAAAAAGGAACCTTGTCAAGAGTGAGTAGCTTATCCTTAACCGCCAACCAGAAGATGAAGCTCATCTTTGGAGGGATAGCTGCATTCCAAACGACCTTCCTCCATGGAACAATTGGATTCGGATTTCTCATATATTCATAGGCTTTACTGGCATTAAGTTTACTGCCCACCACCCAGGATTTCATAGCTGTTACAGCATTGAGATTGCTGTTTTCCTTGCTAACAATAAAATCTCTAATGAGGAGAATCCTTTTCATAAAAACCGAGTGTGATGGAGATGCACAGCACTCCCAGATGCTCCTGTTCAATAGTGATTAATCCACTTAACCCAAAGAGACTCCTTTTTGGAGTGGAAGTCCCACAAGGTTCTAACAAGAAGCGCATTGTTCCAGGTTTTAAGGCAAAAAAGACCTAGGCCACCTTCCTCCTTTGGGGTGCAAACGGTTGACCAAGCCACTAGTGGCTTCTTTTTACCTTCCTCAGCCTTGCCCCATAGGAAATTCCTGCAAGAGGAATTAATCCTCTGAATCACAGAAACTGGGAGGGGAAATATGCCAAGCCAGAAATTGGCTATCCCTTGAATCACTGCCCTTACCAGTTCTAGTCTCCCAGCATATGATAAAGACTTTCTGTTCCAGCCTTGAATTAGAGTTGTGATCTTGAGTATGAGGGGGTCATAATGACAAATATTCAATCTTGATGCCAACAAAGGAACTCCAAGGAATCTGAAGGGAAAGGAGCCATGAGGGAAGCCAGTCAACTTCAGAATAGAATTCAGGTCTGGTTGCTGAATCCCTGCCGAGTAGCAAGCTGACTTGTCTTTACTAATGAGAAGCCCAGAGACATTACAAAAGTGTTGCAGCTTGGAGAATAAGATGTTGACCGAATGGGTATCCCCTCTTGAAAGCAGAATTATATCATCTGCATAGGCTAGATGAGAAATCTTCAAAGCATTGCAGGCAGGATGAAAGTTGAAATCAGCATTTGAGTTCAAGGATGATAAGTCCCTGGATAGATATTCTAAGCAAATTACAAAGAGATATGGGGACAAAGGGTCCCCTTGCCTCAAACCCCTTTTTCCTTTGAACAACCCATGAATGCTGCCATTTACTGAGATGCTAAAGGATGTAGAGGATATACACTCCATGATCCAGCCAATAAACCTCAAAGGAAAGCCAAGTTCCTGCAACATCCAATTCAGAAATTCCCATGAGATGGAATCATAAGCTTTGTGCAAATCAATCTTAAGTAAACATCTAGGGGACACCCTTTTCCTAGCATATTTCCTTATTATCTCTTGGACAAGGAAGATGTTGTCATTCATGCTTCTCTGTTTCACAAATGCAGATTGGAAGGGGCCAATGATCTCCTACAAAACAGGATCCATTCGGTTAGCTAGAATTTTAGCAATAATCTTGTACATAACATTGCAACAAGATATTGGTCTGAAGTGATTGACCTTAGATGCATCCATAGTTTTCGGAATCAGAGCTATTATGGCATGGTTTACTTGCTTTAATAGCTTTCCTGATTCAAAGAACTCCACCACAGCAGCAAAAATGTCATCTCCCAAAAAATCCCAAGATGCCTTGAAGAATTTTGCACTGAAGCCATCCGGACCAGGAGATTTGTTATCATCAAACTCAGCAACAATTTTCCACACCTCCTCTTTTGATATAGGGCCCAGCAACTTGTCTAGAAAGTGCTGAGGCACCTTGGGGCCATTCGAAGCAATATTCCTGGAGGCAGTGTCCACAGGTTTCACAGTCCCTAGCAAATCAGAGAAGTGGCTAACAAAAGCATTAGCAATTGCATTCTGGGATGTAAGAGTTTCTCCATCATCAGAATGAATAGCTGCAATGAATTTGTGATGCCTACTGCTATTGATATAGCTGTGAAAATACTTAGAACACTTGTCAGCATCAATAAGAAATTTACATTTCAACATCTGAGATATGTGGCATACCTCAGCTTTGCGAAGCTTAATAATATCTTGCCTGGTATTATTAGCTAAAGTAAGCAATGAAGCCTCCTTAGGACAGGATTGAAGAGAGGTGAGCACCAGGTTGTAATCAGCTTCTGCTTTTTCAATTCTGTTCGAGATCTTGCTGAAATTGTTGTTGTAGAGCTGCTTAAGGGGAATCTTAAGACCTTTCAATTTCATGCACACTATGTACATC